AATATTAAACATGATATATAAGATATAAATACATGTAAAGGCTCTTTTTTGACAGATGGCATTTTGATAGTGGGTGATGTTCATACTGGGTCAGCAGATGACCCACGCAGCAGGAAGAAACAGCTGGATTTTAGGTGTTCTGTTAATGTAGCTAGCCAAAAAACCCTACCACCTCCAGAACCACTTCTCTAAATGTAAATGTGGACATAACAAAGCCTGATTTTTGAGCAGTAGTTATATTTATGCTTTTGTCATATAAATAAACACAATTCTGAACTAAATATGGTGGCTAACATTACCCAACCCCTGTACCCAGCAAGTCAATGGTCTACATCACACAGAAATATAAATGCACCCAGTCTAAATGTGAACTTGTTTTTTATGCCTGTATCACTTGGTTTAATAAAGCATATTGCCTCTCTCAATCAACCTTGCTTGAGCTCAAGACAACAGTGTGATTTGACTTGTTTCTCTAAATTTCTATTAATTGTTGTAACACTCTTTGATAAAAATCTCTAATTTCTGTATTTGTTTCCTTACTTACTTGACATGGCTTTCCCCATTACAAGTTTCATAGTTTTATCATGCCTTTGTATTTGTTAGAGTAAGAAAATGTGGTTGTTAAACCACAAAAATTGCTAACAGGAATAACAGGCAGCCAGACTACTCATTCTTCTATTTCTGTTGACACATACACCCCCTTACTTAGACACACATGTAAAAACACATATCTAACCAAAGATATTTAAAACAGACTGTTCTTTTAAAGTAGTCTTTGCAAAACTAACACCACATAGTAAGGCAGAGAAAATCCACATTAGCTCTGTGCAACAGGTAATGTTTTCAAAACAAACTATGCATATTACTGGAAAACCCTATACACAACAAATACCAGCATGCCTCTTTGTCATCTCCTTTCTGCTAAATTTCTCTAAAAATCCTGCAAAATTGTGTCAGAACTGATGCATGAGGAATTTGGAATACCCTAGAAATGATCCCATCAGGTTTCTGAGATCGTGTTTCTTTTTTTCTGAGATTCCTGTTTCTTCTATTTGGCAACCAGTCTCAAGTCTCAAGTTACGGGGTTTTTAACCCCGATTAAAAAACACAACTCATTTCCCCATTATTTGTTACTGAACAACAGCAGGTTGCACCTGATCTGCACAAAGAGGAAGTGTATCACCACACGTAGACAGATCATTCTTCACACAAAGGCAGCAAGGGCTGTCTCCTACGCAGTTTTCAGGAAAAGAAGACATCAGAACTGCTGGTAAGGCAGGCTTTACTACTAGATGCAGAACCAAAACCAGGATGTGACCCAGGGCAACTGCGCCTGAGAAGCTGAACAAAAACTTGAGCTCTAAGCAATTTAGAAAGTTGGTTGGTGGTTTCCCTTTTTTCTGGGTCATTTTTATTTCCTCCAGGCAGTAAGAAGCAATTATTGCTCACTTAGAAATTGTTTTCCCAGAAGATAATCACACAGTTTAGCAAGTACCTGATTCAAGATAAACTTTTCTCTCAGTATAGCAATAGACTTTCAGCAGCTGTTTCCGAGAACATCAGAATAACCAACCAAACCAAAATACACGTGCTAGTTCGCACTACCTAGCTGCTTTCTGTGAAGGATTTTTACTGCAGATAGCTTCTGGTGTCAAGTATCCACATCAGCTGCCAGTTTCAGGTTGACTCGCCCCCATAATCATTTCTCTTTCCTCTCCCACAGGGTAGCCTCAGATAGTCCCTTCAGTGTGCTCTGTTTGACAGCCATTACCACCACTTTGGAAACACTACCAAGTTATATCCAAACAAGGTTGTTATGAAGATGATAATGCCTATGGTTTACATACCTAGCAGTTAAACACAACACAACTTAGTAGAGCAGCTGAGAAATGCCCATGTGATAACCAGCAGTCTCAGTCAATTGTAGGAGTAACCACCTGTGGTTAGTGACCACCCCCTGTAATTAAGTATCACAGACTTCAGATGCCAGCTTCCCTCTACATGTCTAAAAATTAAAACACTCAGGGAAAAATGGTCTGATTTATTAAATCAAGTCAACTAGAGTGATGTGGAAGTAATGGAAAGAGATGTAACAGTGCTCTTTTTGATCTTTCAGAATTTTGTCTGAAATCCAGCATTGCTTTCTTCCCTTGCACCCCCTTGGAGTGATTATCTTAAAAATATGACTCATAAGCCTGAATATCGTCCTTTTTCTGACCTCAAAGAACAAATGCAACAGAATGTGACAACTTGCTCAACATACATAAAAGAAAACTGGTTATTTCAGATACCTTCATAACAGGAATTCTCAGTATATACCTTATTCTTTATAAAGCATGTATTACATTTATGCTAATAATGAGCTCTGCATAAACTCTTTGATTTTTGTGTTTCTCGACTCAGGTTACTATTCTTGTAATAAATGTGATTCACCACATCCTTTCTGTATTTGCATTCCCACAACCAGTTGCTGCAGCACACGAAGGCCGCCCAGCAGCACATTTGGTTCTGATGAGTACGCAGCCAGCCTACATGCCTATCCTTATCATCTCACAACCCATTTTACAGAGTGGCTAAACTAGATGCAAAATAATTCAAATATCTCAAAACACAAGCCAGGATTAGAAATTTTCATACCTTCCTTAGCTTCCTCAAATTGTTTTATGTTTAGAGGCTATGGGATATATAGACAGCCAGAGAAATGTCTGTTTGCATGTGTGTTTCTATTCAGTTTTGGAAAGCAGTAAAAGGAGTGAAAATTAAAGAAACACATAAAAATCACAAAAGAAATTTATATGGCATCATAAACATCAAGATGGTTTTACACATGCCTAGTTAGAAAGACTGGTTAGAGTAAGCTGGATTTACGCCAGTATAGGAAAGGTTGTGTTCTGCCCTAAAGTCAAAACTCGAACTCGAGAAAAGGAGTATCTGATAATATTTTTTTTCTATTAAAGGTGAAAAGAAGACCTATCTGTATGCTGTTTCCTAGAATTTGGCAGAAATGGCTTCATGCAAACTATATAGCTGCTTTCATGAGCATGTCATAAGGCTTGAAAACACGTAAATATATACTTTTATGTGTGCTCCAAACATCAAAACTTAATTAAAGTGATCAGCAATTAGGAATTAATTTTTATTAATACAGCGTTGATTGTGGACTCCGGGTTAAAACAGTCAAATCTGTATTATTTTCTTCAGTCTGCAGGGTCTGAAACACTCAAACACAAAGGGCATAGTACACATCATACAGTATCATATCAACTATCTTCAGTCTCTTAATCTACACTAGCTATATTTCTAGAGTATTGTAGAATCCCATTTTATCTATATTTGTATTCGTTCCTAGCGGTAGTGTTCCCAAGGAGTGTTTGCAAAGCTATGAAAATGGGCACACTCGTAACAGTTTAGCTCAAACATGCCATCACTGAATTGAGTTGTTTCAGAAAATTGTTTTAGACAAATCAGGAAAAGGCTAAAGGAGTTGGTTTCCATTAACTAACAAGAGTTTTTAAGCCATTAGAGTGCTGTGATACTGGTAAATGGAATGTTACCCTGACCAGAATGCACTTTTTTTAATACTTCATTTCTGGTGCCAAACCTTTCACAAGGAAGGCCTCTTAAATTCAGTGGGGGTCAGAAGTTTAGTTTATTCAGCAAGAATAACACTGTTAACAGCTACTGCTCTTTCATGTCAACACAGTTAACACCCACACATTCCAACTCTGGTTAAAACAGGCCAGTCAAGAAAGATTGGAGTTGCTAAGGGCAGTCATCTCTGCAGGGATATTTTAAAACAGAATTTATACTGTGCTTTAAAAACAATCTAAAATGATCAATCTACCTTATGAATCTGCTGTGGACATACACAGAGAGAAAGATGGATGGATGAAAGCATATAAAAGCAAGTAAATCTGACTCTCTCTATTGATTTTTGAGAGGACAGTGTAGAGCACTTTGGTGAGGTCTTATATATCACTGCAAAGGACAAAATGCCATTGTGCATACGGTCTGAAGCACGTCAGGATTTATCATGAACCGATGCACTGCTGTATTCTGTAATTATAGCATTTTGTAAATAATCTTGTTTACACTGCTGAGGAAGGTAGAACACTAAAAATTAAATAATCTTCAAAAGAAATGTAAAAACTATCAGGAAGATTTTCACATAGCTATAAATGAAAGAATCTGCTATTATTAAATGAAAAATTGCAGAAATTTACTGTACACATGAAGTATTTTTAGCAGGAGAAAGCTGGTATTTTAATAATGAGCTTTTGAAATCCAAAATGGAAAAATCTGCATATCAGAGCATAATCCTCTTCCTACTTACTTTGCTCTAAATTATAGCAAATCAACGTTTAGTGTTCCCCAAAGCTCTCCAGCACTCCTACTCGGACAAATGTCTTCAAAGGATATTAGAGAAATCAATCTGGTTTTGATAGCACTTCTTCACCACATGGAACACTTTTCTTCAAGGCTGAAAGCTTTCATCTTAAAGCACATTTTAGATAACCAAAATGCAAAAATAATCACATCAAATTGAATTTTTGTAGGGTCTCAGGGGCCTCTATTGTTATGCAATGGTGGCATTTCTTATCAGCTGAAATATTCAGCTAAATTTTCATCTAAACTATTCATATATCCACTCCCATCACACAAACACCACCTCATAATGTACATTTAAACATCGTATTTATGCTATTCTATTAGCAATTTCTTCATATGAGTTTCTTAATATAGCAAGAGGAAACAATTCTATTATTAGCTGCGGTTACATGGTAGGTCATTTGGAAAACCCAGTTGTTTTAAATAATAGAAAGACCTGCCATTTGTTTTTAAAATAGAAGCTCCCTAGCTGAACTGTAAAGCTGTGACTGTCACAGCATATAGCAGTGTCCCAACAGATTAGCAAGCCTTTAGCTAGCACCCAGGCAGACACAGCACATACCCCTTGTCGACAGATCTCAGAGACAAACCTAATGAAAAAAACAATTTACCTTCTTCAGTTTCATGCCACACAATTCCTTCCAAGTTCACGCTGGTCCCAGGCTCACAGGGTCCAAGGCATTCGGGTTCTGTTACTACTCCAACCTCGCAAGTATTTACCCCCACTGAACGCGTCCGTACCAAAAGCTGCTCGACTGGTGCTGCAATATTGGATGAAGATGGGGAAAAGTAGGAAGGCAGAATCTGAGGTGTGATACTGCTGGAAATCGGAGGTGGAGGTGCAGGCACTGTAAACAGGGGATCAACCTGAAAACAACAGACAAACTTACTATAATGGTGCTGTGAGAGTTTAAAATAAAATAAAATAAAATAAAATAAAATAAAATAAAATAAAATAAAATAAAATAAAATAAAATAAAATAAAATAAAATAAAATAAAATAAAATAAAATAAAATAAAATATATTTTTTTTTTAAGTAAGAGAAAACCCAGTTTGCCAATACCGCATTTCTTTATGTGGGGATTTTGTGTATCATGGGTAATTTCTGTTGCATGAATTCAAATTTTTTGACATTAGCCATTGACAATGCTACACATAAAGAATGAATTACAAAAAAGTCTGTCATACATGATAAAAAAAGCAACTTTTTAGTAAGTTTCTACTAGAACTATTCCCTGTTGTCATAGACTGTTAGTATGAAATAATAGTAAGTTTTTAAAACAAGGATTAAGTTTATGTTTTTAGTGGCACTGGTAGAGACTGATTTGTGGATGAAAATTAATTTTCTGAACTGGGAACTTCATTTACTATGTAAAGAAAAACATTCATAAAGACAGGCACAAAGACACAAATGCTATTCTTTAATGTGTACCATAGAGAAATTAGTACTTGGAACAATTCTAATATCCATATGGCAGCAAATACAATCTCTTGTTATCCAATCGTTTAAAATACATTAGGATGACCCACTTGATACCTTACAGGTAGCATTTAGATCTTTCTGCTTGGAATAAAAGAGAGGACTTTTATAAGAATTGAGCCAAACCATCTAATTTCTCAGGGTTTCCAAAACACATGATCAGAACACATCTCACCAGACAATCAGTCTGAACAGTAGACAATTCACAGAGACAATATCAACATATGAGCTGAAGAAGTTATCTCTTCCATATGACTCCCAGTCTACTCAGTAGCAGATTTTCTGTATAAAGATTTGGCTGAAGGTTTTCAATATTTCACTCTGGCTCCAAGGTCCCTTGTCCCATAAAAGACAGCTAGATAAATAAATATATGAGCAGCAACTAGCTAAACCACCTGGAACTCATGTTCATTTGGCCCATTGGATCACAGATATCACACGAAGAAAACACTCTTCAACCCAATGATTTTTTTTTTTTTGAATAGCTGCTTTTTAGTGGCATTGAAATAGATGATCAAATGTCTTCCAGATTATGATGTTTTTAATTTTGGACCTCATAAGAAGACTCAACAGAAAAGACATAATGACTCACTGCACATCATCTAGGCTTTGCTCAAATGCATCTTAAGGTAGATCAAAGTTAATTTTGCCTCCTTGTAAAGCAAAATGGGGATACAAAGAAAAGGACAGACTAAAAGCTATTATACATGTATCATAGATCAGCTCACTTCATCAAATGGGCACTTTTCACAATGAGAAAATAAAATGACAAATTAGGAAGAACTTTTTTTAAATTGTAACAATTGTTATCATTTGCCTTTGTAACAATTCTGTTGTTTTTAGCATTATTCATAGATGCAAACTGGGAGACAAGGCTTTTAATTGTGTGTGCAAGCCTTATGTGTGCTAAGTAATTCTCAGTAACTTTGTAAAAATGTTTTGCATGCTCTTTGTATGACCAGCCTGGATTCTGATCTCAATTACATTAGAACTAAGCAGGACAGGGGAAGGACCTATAACCACAATCTTCTCCAACACACTCCTCATTTAGAGGGGATTTTTTTTATTGAAAATGAAATCTTCAGGTTAGAGGTAAGAAAGAAAACAACTAAACAAACAAACCAAACAAAAAAACCCAGAACAAACAAAACAACAAAAACAACCAAACAAAAAACCACAAACAAACAAACAAACAAGCACAAAAAACCCCACAACACCAAAACCAAATCAAAACATAAATACTGAAAGCATCTCTAAGGAGTAAAAACCTAATAATACCATAAAAATTCTACTGGTTAAAGCAGAGTTCCTGTGGCATAGAACAATGCACTCAAGCAATTATGTCTTTATTCTTCTCCTTATGCCAACAGAGTTGCAGAGTTAAAGCACAGGCAGAAATCTTTGCAGGGCAGACTTGAATGCACACAGGCAAGTCAGATACCAAGTGACCCCCAGCAGCAGCTGTTCCTTGCAGTATCTAATAGCACACATCAACCCTAACCTAAGTGTGTATGCAGTGCGTGGGGAGACACCGATTCTCCGCTCCACAGCTCCTGCTGCCAAGTGGAGGCACACGGTTGGATGGCACAGAGCCCTGCTCCCAGGCACTGGCTGTGTAATGGTGCTCTGTCACTGAAACGGGGTCAGCATGTACCCCAGGCATAATTTAGGGGCTCTTAACATACCTTACTTCAAACCAGAAGAGAACTGGGGTCAGTAACTGGCAGGTAAATGGAACCTAGCACTTAGGAAAAGCTAAGCCACATCCCATCATAAACCGAAAAAATGCTGATGAATAGCCTGTTTAATAGTTTACATGGTGCTCTGTAAAGCTGTTCAACACCTCCTACTACACATGCAACATCATTCCTCCATAAAATGGACTCATCACAAAACCAGAGGAAGAAAAATCCAAAGTGTTTTCTGTGGTCATACTAAAATAGCCAACGTTTTAAATGAATGTAGGCTAAATTGACAGATGTGTTTTCCGTTTTTGAGTATTATAAACAGTGAGGGGGAACTAATGAAAGCATAGATCTGACAGTGTATCCTATTCAGTTCTTTGTTACAAATATTTGTGCTCAGTTCTGGTTTATTTAGACCTGCTTGCTAATAAATGTTCGTGTTCTCCACTAGAAACATTCACTCGGGACAAGGCCAAATAGGGGCGCTTGCACTAAATGGAGCTGTTTTTCTGTGAATTAAAACACTAAACCTTTGGCTGAGAAATAAGTGACTTACTGTCACTGAGGTACATGTTCATTGCACAAGTATGACCTTAGCCACAAGAAAAAAATACACTAAGCTTAAACATTGCTCCAGATTTCCATGTTTTAAAATTATCCCATCTTGTTCGACAGTCATAACAGCAAAGTGGTCGTTCTTAGAGATCATTGTGGTGACACAATTGTTTTCATGAATTCTCCAAAGGGCACTGATGTAAGCTCTCAGAGGCAAAGAGAGGCAGGAAGGCGGCCATCTCCAGTGGAAGAAAAGGCACATAAGCCTAACATCTGGTGGTGGCAGTCTGTCAAACTGAGGAAAGTTAATGTCAAGAACAGATGCTCTGCAGTTTCTCACTGTTATTTTTTCATTATTATTCCCAGGTGTTGGCGCATACTGAGCAGTAGCCTTGCTGTTTATCACACAAGAGATTCCAATACGAGACTGAAAATCTGAATCTGAAGAAGGTTATTTACATAGATGCTCCCTTTAGACACACAATCAAAGGAGTACAAAAAGACAGAAATATTCAAGCAATATTTTCCTCACCTAATTCCAAGAGTTTTTGAGAGCTGATTGGTGATAAAGGCTACAAAGCTGCAGTGTTATTCATGGCAGTCTTCCACAGCCAAGTGTTTGATCGTATCAGGGAGCTACGATGCCTAGTAACAGAAAGCTCACAGAAAATGAAGACCGCCTGCCAAGCAATGGTCTACTGCCCCATGGAGCAATCTTTTAACTGAACATTTACCAAAAAAAAAAGTCTGTTTTGGTGGCTGCATAACATTCATCAGTAGGAGGAAGCACACATGGAAGAGGAAAGGAAATATCGTATCAACAAGAAATAGGCAAGACTTTCTAATAAGCAAGGTTGCCATTCAGTTACTCAGGCATTTTACATGTTGGAATCAAATTCTGTGCATCAAAACTCACCTTCCTGGTTTAATTAAGCTGTGTCTTTGAAGATATATCTCAACGATAACATAATCTACCTATCTAAGACCGAAGTGGGTCATACATTACTGCAGTGTCATCCACCAGGTGATTTTGAAATGTACATGCCAAAAGCCATTTAATCCATCTACCAACACAGCCAGGAGAAAGGCAAAGGAGCAGGTTTCAGGCTAAGTATGAGCTCTTCCCAGAAAGCACGGCTTTTTAAACTGAGAAAAAAAGAAAAGTCTACTGTAAGCATTCCCAGTGGGAATGTCTGCCCTAATAGAAAGAATATGAAAAGAAGATCTGAATCCTATTACAGGATCTAACTAAAAAACCAAGCCTGGCCCTTTGCAAACCTAAATCCTCCCTCTAAAAGACAGCAACATAAAGACAGAAAGGACTAAGAAACTTGCAACCTTGAAAATTACATTGACATTACATTCTTTAGAGTTATGAATTAATACTTCACAGAACCACTATGTCTGGAAAAGAAAACAGGAAAATAAAGGAATTCAGCCCTATCTGGAAGTTTTGAATCCTACAAATTACTATCTTTAGATTTTACAGTGAAAAGGAGACTAGCTTGTTTTTACATAAAGTATACTTGCCTCTATCCTAATTTTCAAAAACAACAGTGACCCCAGAAGACCTCATTGTAATCTCATAAATCAGAAGTCATTTTAATGAAATTCATCTAACTGCTTTGGAAGAGAACAAATGGGAGAATGTGACATGAGAAAAATGTCTGTGTGCTCAGAAGCATGTCTGAACTTCCAGACATCTCACCAATCTTTAACTCTCCTCTTGCTATAAACCTTGCCCCAAAAAGAATTTACATATCCAAAACCTAAAGCTATTCCTTTATATTCTTTATATAAATATATTTATATATATTTATATATATATTCTTATATTATTTATATACCATGTAATGGGAATTACCACTATGAAGAACCTTCATTTGTCTGAAAGATCTCCTTTTAATCTCAGCTGAGTATTTCTTGCCTATAAATCATATCAGAGGCCAACTCAGAAGTGTTTTGGCATCATGCTTAATGGAGCTGATATTTTGTTTTCTTCAAATATTCTGCTTCAAATATTCTGATATTATTCAAATATCAAATTGTTGAGAGGAAAAAAAGGCCAGTGCCACAAAGGACAGCACAGAAAAAAAGAAAAGAATAAATCCTGTAAGACATGGGTGTAGAAAGGAATTTCTGCCAT